TTTCTTTCTTTCTTTCTTTCTTTCTTTCTTTCTTTCTTTCTTTCTTTCTTTCTTTCTTTCTTTCTTTCTTTCAACACAAGACAGTGTAATATATTCCATTTCTATATAGCTTATATGAATCAACAATCACATGCATAACACTGTATATTATAATAGAATACAGGATGCCTCAAAACGCATCGATTTATAACATGTGTACAGACTTTGTTATAATGAAAAAAAGACTTTCTCTACTTTTTTTTCCTTTTTTTTTTTGGACTTGTGCCTATATATGTGTTTCTGACCGGATTCCCAAAAAGTCTCCAGATAAGATAACGCATGTTCCACCTTTCTGCTTTTTTTTTTCTTTCTTGTTCTTTTATAGGCACTTGCTGAGGTGATGTCTATATATAGAAAAATATACCGGACACTATGTAGTCTGCTAGATTTGATACAGATTGGTAGTTATGGCACTCCTTATAATATCTCATCATCTGTATAGAAAAACATGAGGGGACCCCTTCCTTCATGGTGTTTGTAAAAAAAAAAAAAAAACAACGAAAAAAACTGTCAGACATTCCTTGTTTGTATGTGCTGTAAGTATTGTTGCTGTTGAATATAAGCGTTTCTATATATTTATTATTTCTATTGCCAGGAGCTACACTAAAGCATGGTGCAATTTAAACGATTTAAAAAAAAATAACTCCATCAAAGTTCACGCTGAGCACGTTGTCTATGATTTTTTTTAAATGTCTTTATGAACGTCTAAGTAGCTTTGATTTAACACTTCTGGAAGCCGAAAGGGAAAAAAAAAAGTTTGTGATGTAGGCCTCGATCATTTTTGGCATCATGATGTAATAATTACAACTTGTGTAAACGCTTTCGATTCCGACTTCAAAATCTTTAGAGAGAAAGAAATATTTAATGTTTACAAATAAAACTTTGAAAACAATTCATCTGAAATGAAGCCAAATCCTCTTTACAGGCATGACAAACTTTGGTATATTTTCTACAAACTCTTTTCCTTTTTCAGTTTTTTTTTTCTTACCATGGGTTACCAACTGCGCTAACAGCATGTAAAATTAAATCCAGTGTTTAGATGGTAATTTTACATTTTTGTATTTTTTATTTATTTCATTTTAATACTTTTTATTGATGTATTTTAAAACCAACTAACATATTGCTATTAAAACTGCGGACAATTTCCACACAATAGATGCATACTCATTATGTTTTAATTTTAGTGTTGTTTGATTTTCATCACTTCATAACGCGCTCTTTGGTAATTTTAGCGCACAGTGGTTTAATTTACGCCTCCGTGAAGCGACAGTGTCAATCAAAAATATTAGATCTGAATACGAATCTATTTAAATCAGTTTGCTGGAAGCTCCCTGAATATTTCCCACATTCTAATAATGTAAAAACACATTGTATATTTAATAAAATAAAAGATTTAAATGTGCGTTTTAAAGAAATATCAAACATATTCAATCTTAAAATAAAATAAAAAACTAATGTTTTTTTTTTGTTGGGCTTTGAAAAACACAAAAATGTGTTCCTTTCATTGCCATAAAAGTAGCAAAGTAATAAATAGTGTCTTTTAAACTAGGCCTATGTAATCATGTAGGCCATTAAGTGGGTGAAATTCCATTCAAAAACTTTGCCGTGTTTAATAAAGCGCACGACTTAATGCATAATTTTTGAGGGAATAAAACAAGGAAAGAAGCATTTTGTAGTTAATTTTATTCAGATTTTCTTCTTTAAGCTGTACAGTTAATGTATAAAAGGGATCTAACCGGTTGTGAATTGTAGGAACTATTTTAAAAAACAAAGAAACATGTCTTAAACAATTCTACCCTTCACAAAGGACTCGGTTGAATTGAGCTGTGGCGGAAAAATATTTGTATTCATTTGTTTGTTTATTTTAATGAAGCGCGCTACAAGCGATTTGGGGGAGATAACAAATATAACGAATTTGCTCTCGTCATTAGAAAGAATCGAAGTTGTTTGGCCTGCAAGTAAAGCGCTGTGTTTGTGGCAGCATGGTGATGTGGGGATGATGTCCTTCGACAGGCAAGAGACAACTGGTCAAAAGAAATCCAGTCGAACTTTTTTTGCTGCCAAGTTATAAAATTAAATAAACAAACGGAGTTCTGCCAAAGTAAATTAAAACAGGATCGGTCGGCATTTGCACATTCGGAATTAATCACAATAACCACGGCGGTTACAGCAGAAATTACGCAGAGGTGCATGACGTGGAATTTGAGCATGGACGCTGCATTTATAGAAGTAAAGTGAGAAGAAAAACTTTGATTTCCTACCTTTTGCTTTGTGCTTAAACCTGTGAGAACTCTATAAGCAGCAGGCGCGCTGGTCAGGAACGACAGACTTAGAAATGTTTTTGGCCCGCCAAGGAAGCAGGTTTGGTGGTGGCAGCATCATGCTGTGGGGTTATTTTCTTCACTATCATTATTGCCAGTGCTGACACAAATAAGACAGTTTAGATGGAAATCACACTCTATAGGGAAAAAAAAGTTTTACTCCTTTTTTGGCCATAATAATAATAAAAACTGAGTTTTAATAACTTTAATAAAATGCGTTTTTTTTAAGTACAAATAGCTGAAATGCATCCACTCTTGTCGTCACCTAAAAATGAACTGCAAAGTGAACGCGACATTATTTGTAGTATGAAACCACTCTGTATTTTAGGTTAAGACATATATACCTTTAAATCTGGATTGTTCTCCAAACCTTAATTTAATTTAAAATGACATGCGTCGATTTAGAAAATAAAGGTTTTAATAGAACAGTTGTCCTGCCCATTTCTCTTTTTTATTTTATGATTTTTTTTTTTGTTTGTTTGTTTTTCTTAGAAAAACATGGATACATGAGTCGAACTTTACATTTGGTTTACATGCGAAAACGAGGAAATAAAAATGATTTAGATCAGCGTAAAAATAGGAAATAAAATGATTTAGATCAGCGTAAAAATGGCAAAGATGGTCGGATAAAAAGTAAAGCTGCGGCCGCTGTCACAGAGCGTCTCCCTCACGCTGTCAGCTCAGAGAGGAGACGCCGCGCAGGGCTCTGAGGCAAGACTTCTCCACATTTATCACATGATCACGGTGAAGGGAACAGCTTATTTTGAGAGATAATAGCAGCAGGCAATAAATTGTCTAAATGATTAGATCGTCAGCGTAAAAGCGCTAATTCCAAGGCAAATTGGGATTCCGTTCAGAACCAGTTTGCTGACATTTAGCAGATCTGCTGGAAAGGGGGGCGCGGAGACAATGTCACAAGTTTCCCTTTGTTGACTCTAAGTACAGTTGGGGGTTTAACATGTCTATCTCGATACAATAAAACATGACTCATAGAGCTAATATTTCTGTCGGTATTCGTGCATAATTACACATCCCAGAAAGGTTTCTTTAAAATCATTGTGGACCCTGTTGATTTTTTATTCTTTTTTTTTTTTTTTACATCGGGGGAAGTTTTTTTGGACTATGTGAGCACCATAAACAGACAGACAAAAGGAAAAATGAGAATTGCTATGCATTCAGTGCACCCTGAGCAAGCAGGTGAAAGAGTCCGTCTAGAAGATGTACTCTGCAGCTGCTGCTAAATGCCTCTTTCCACAGTGAAAAGCATCAAGTTAGAAAGCTGCATTTTTGCTACACAATTACAGCATCAACTCATGTGCATGCCCACAGCAAGCATTGAATGATGTTGCATGAAGCACATCAGTTGTTCCTTTTTTTTTTTTAACTTATTCAGTTGTTTGTTCATGTGTGTGCTGCAAAAACTGTTGGAGGTGTAGTATTTCACTGATGAAAGTTTTTTTTTTAAATTGCCCCTTCCTCCTTTTTGATGTGAGGCATTTTACTGCAGATCATCCACTGCTCACAATTCATTGAGGTTGCATCAATCTGCAGTAAAGGTATTTTCTTTTAAGCAGCAAATAGAAACTCCAAGGACTATGAATTGATTTTTTTTGCAATTGCTTAGATTGGAAAAAGAAAAAACAAACAAATAAAAAAAAAAATCATACATTGCATAGTTAAATATTTTAAAGGGTTTATGGGATCCAAAATCCAAAATATAGTTTTTTAGAAAATTCTAACAGAATTAAGACAAGTTAAATAATAAACAAAAAGTTGTTTCCTTGCTGACTTCATGTATTTGAGCTCAATACTTTGTTTTATTTTCTTATGAATACTCACCTTTACTGCTGTACCACAGCGGCAATCGGCCTGTGGCGTTGCTGAGGTGTTAAATTATCTCAGGTTGCTTTAACAGCTGCCTTCAGCTACTCCACATTGTGGGGTCTGCTGTGTCTTCTCTTTGCCTAGGCAAAATCCATGGAATCTCAGAGGGACTTAGGTCAGGTCAGTTAAATGGTCAACTAAGCACAGTGGTATCTTGGTCATTAAAGCTGCTATTTGTACTTTCTGCAGGGTGGGCAGGTGCCAAGTTCTGCTGGCAGAATAAATCAGCATCTTCATAAAGCTTGTAACAGAGGGTACCATGAAGTCGAAAGCCATGCTGACTTTGGACTTAAAACAACACTATGGACCGACTTCACATGACGTGACTCTTCAAATCATCAAAGACAGTGGAATTTTAAAAGAGAACCGCAATCAACTTAGTGTTTGCATTTCCCCCCCTTCTTCATCTTGAGGTATATTTCTGGATTTAATGGAATAAATGTACTTTCATCCACAAGAGGTACTTTAGACCAATGAGCAAAAAAATGTTTTTCCTCCTTCCTACCTGGTAAGATGTTTCTGATGTTGTCTGTGGTTCAATAGAGGGTTAAAATAGGGGATATAATAGTTTTACCTCCTGTCCTTGATACATCTCTGTGTGGATGCTCTTGAAAGACTGAAAACAAACAGTATAAACCTTGTGAGTCTCCACAAACTCTTAACCAGGCTTGGCTTCAAAGTTTTGGTTAACAATTTCAGATGTTGCTGACTGTTGGACAGCTCACAGTTTTTGAAAAATCCGCTTGTTCTACTTTTTTTTTTGTGAGAAATTGAATTTGGGTTTCTAATTACCTATGTCACAATTATCTAAATGAACAGAAATGAATGCTTGACCAGTAATATACGTTTCTAATGTGAAATTCCTCCAAATTAACTTTAGAATAATTTTGATTTACTTCTAACAGTGTGATACCTTGAGATACATAAAGAATATATGAATAGGGTGTCAAGCTACAGAAACATTTTCCCACATGACATGTGCCACATTAGTGAGGTGTGTTTACTAAGTCGTCCTCTAATTTAATTAGAGAATAGATTTCATTGTAACAGGTTGAATTTTGATTAACAATTGCATCAACAAGCTTTTGCCAGCTTTTCCTTTTTGTTTTCATTGTCTTTGAGTTTAAATTATTCTTTCTGTGTTTTTATATTTAACTCTGCTTTGTTTTCACTTTTTAATTTATTAATTTCCCTGCATCCTATGTGATCATTTAGTTTCCTCCCATTAAGTTTTCTCAGTTTTCTTAGCTCCAAGCTGTCATTCAAATCTGCAATCTGTTTTGAATTCAGGTCATTATTTCCCCAAGTGTCAAGTTTACTTTAGTTTCCTAAAATCCTCCAATTGTTATGCCCACGCTTTCCCTCCATTACGTGTAATTTTTGTTTTTCAAAATCTTTCGAAAAAATATTCAGTCATGAGACTGTTAACCTGTTGCCTACATTTGAGTTAAGTTACACAATAAAGCATTAAAAAAACCAACAAAAAACTATGAACAACCAAACTTTTGATGTATTTAATAATGTATATATCTTACAGTACCTGCCAACTATCCACAAATCCCTGAGGACAATAATTCAGTTAAATAGTGCATCAGTGTTTTTCATGGGGGCTGCATGTGTTGCATTGTTGCCTTGCAGCAAGAATGTTCTGGGTTCAATTCCTGGGGTCTCGTTGTCTTTCTGTATGGAGTTTGCATGTTCTCCCTGTGCATGCATGGGTTCCTCCTGGGTACTCCGGCTTACTTCCACATTCCAAAAACATGATTGTTAGGCTAATTGGATTCTCTAAATTGTCCTTTGGTGTGGGTGTGTTTGCATGGTTGTATCTCTCGGTTTGTCTGTGTTTCACTGTAAAAGACTGGCAACCTGTCCAAGATGTACCCTGCCTCTCGCCCCTACACTGCTGGAGATCGGCACCAGCCCCACTGCGACCCTGATGGAATAAGCGGCTGAAGATGGATGGATGATTTTCATGGCTGGCATTAGAAGCTATTCCAAACCTTACAAACATACTTCCTCTCTCTCACCTCCTTATTTCATTATAAAAAAATACATTTGTTAGAGATTTTGCTCTGCTGCAACTCCTGGCAGTGCCAGCGCATTAAATAATAATTCTATGTATCTTTCGCTCAGATTTCTCCCAGTGTCACATTTCTATGTGTAAACTTCCCCTCAGTTTTGTGAAGTGCTCTGCTGCCTGAGCTTGTAATAAAACATGTTTATTACACAATCCCATAAGCCCTGCCAAATAAATAAAATGAATGAATAACGAGCTGAGTGATGACCCTTCGGATACAACTGCCTATAGTTATAATACTGTGACTGATTCGTCACATTTTGAATGCCGATGATTGTTCGATAAATAATGCAAAAAGCTTATTTCCAAGCAGCAAGGCAAAGGCATAAAAAAGCAAACCACCTTGCATATAGATGGGAGGTGAGCTGTGTCTGTCTGTCTCAGCCTGTGGCCCCAGAGCAGCTTTATCATTCATAGGACTAAACAGACAATCAATTCAGCAGCCATGTATGAAGGCTGAAGGGATGCGACAAGCTGTGAATGATGAGAAGCCAAAAATCAAAGGCCTTAGTCCTTCTGAGCTCTAATGGCCATTACCCACCCAGACAGCAGCAGTAAAATGAGGTTAATCATTCGCACAGAGCCGTTCAAAGAAGACTGACTGAACTTGATGTCCAGTCATATCACTCATAAATATTTACCTCACATTAAACAGCTGTGGTGGCTCTGTTGCTGTGCATTGATTTCTGATACATGCAATCGAGTTATTGTTTCAAGTGTGGTCAGTGAAATCCATTAAGGTGATACTTCCTCCAAGACTCAATTATGCTAATCAAATACATAAATCAATGATACAATGAAACGGACACCAAATGATGACGAACGTTACACTTTTGATTCATGTTTGGAAATGTATAATGCCTTGCAGAAATTATTGATATGATTGGGAAGTATAAGGAAAATGTCTCCTGTTTGTTCAACATTTCTTTACAATTACAAATCAGAAAATTACAAAGTGATTCACATAAGAAATCATTAGTCTGATTGCTTTAAATAAAATCCTCTGATACCAGTTACTTTTAGATATTAGCTAAATAATAGAAATGTTTTATGCCATTGTTCAAGCCATCGCTAATGAATGTCCAAGATAAAGTTCACCAAGAGCCAAAAAGTGGTTGGAGTAAGTTGCAATGGTCAAATAAGATGAGAATATATTTTTTTCCCTACATGCAGAATGTTCTGGTGGTGGGAGTGGAAAACGAAAATTGAGCATCACCCTGAACCAGTAGCAGATGTAGAGAATTTTACATGGATACACAAAATGTCAAAGCAGAGTGGAAATGCTGGAGCTAAATCTCTCATATATCAATGGACTCAACAGAACATAAAATAAAAAAAAAAAATTATAGGACTGATTTCAGTCATCACTTCCAGGAGCTCTGAAGGTAACCCGCTTTTAAACTGGGCAGCAAAACGTCTTAAAAGGGATTAAAATCTAACATCTTTGCACTGTAAATTATACAAAGAATAAATACATGGTGGTTCGGGTGAATAGCAGAGTGTGAAATCCCACACTCTGTGGCTTACTTTTCTCCTTGATCAGTTTAATCTGCACTCTCTTCTTTCCCTCTTTCTTTATGTCTACCATTTTTTTGCCAAAGAAACAGGAAATTTCTCCTCTTCTTAAAAATCCTTTTCATAATGTTCTGCATTGAATGAGCATGAAGATTAGGAAAAAGTAGCCCAATGATTATGTGAGTTTATCACAATATGAAACCAAAAGCAATTTTTCAGCACATTTATACAGGCCACACAAGCAGTTCTATTCAGAAACATTGTCATGATGGCAGCAAATGTATTGTTTTATATTATATTTTACATGCAATATAAGCATGTATATTGTAGTATATAGTATATTTTTGATTTAATGTTTTTAAGGCTATAAAGTGCTTTTGGACAAACACAGGATTAGTTATTCCAAACAGTGATGCAAAAATCATGCTGTGGGGATTCACAGAGAAGCTTTTGAGACATTTGGAAGCAAAGTACGGAGCTAAATACATGACAAACCTGCAGGAAAAACTCAAACCAGCTACAAAAATCAACAAGAGATGAGAAGGATGAACTTCCAGCAGGATAATAACTCTAAACATTAAGGAAGAGCTGGAATGGGAAGATTTAGATCCAAGAATTGTATTAGTATGGCTCAGGGAAAAATCAAAATTTAAATACTGCTGAAATTTCTGTCAAGACCTGAAATTTTCATTCACCCCCCCGAATCTCAATTCAAACCTTTCTACACAGAAGAATTGACAATAATTTGACGCCATTTGGAAAAAGATGCAAAGATCTGTAACTGCAACAAATATTGACTCAGGGATTTGAATACAAATCCAGGAAACAATTCTTGCAAATAAAAGCGAAAACCATCCATTGTTCTCTTTCTAGTTATCAAATGTTTGACACTTTCGGTCTATTACATAAAATCTAAATAAAATGTTTTGATTCTAGTTTAACATAAAATGAAACAGGTCAAGGTACATGAATAATTTTGCACTGTACATTTAACTAAGAAAAAATAAATAAACAGTAGAAACAAACTGCTAACAGAACATGGATGTCAAAATTTAAATCAAATAGACTTGGGGTTTATGTCTCCAGTTTAAACCTATGCTGGATTATTGAACACTTGGGCCCAGTCCTTTGACCTTATTGACAAACTGAAATCAGAAATTTCCTTTATAAAAGGAGTTAATGTTTCCTGCGGCAGACATGTTTCCAATTCAATTAGTTTTAATGAAGCTGGTGCTCAGTGCCTACTGAAGTGGAGAAAAAAAGGCATAAATGGCTGATGGTAATAGAGGACATATTATTGGAGAAAGGGGTCGGACACACTGCGTGTGCTTCTAAGTGGCGAAAAATGCCTCCATCAGGCTGGTACGAGCCAGTGGCTTGGGAAGCAATGAATTGTATGAGCTTTAAATGATGCATTTGGTCTCTGGGGCGAGGCTGGAGGAGACTGAAGAGTGAACTGTAAAAGTACACTGATGGACCACTTGGCTCAGATGATGCATGGGGGATATCACTAAGTAGCCAATAATGCTTATCAATAAGACCAATTTACATAAATGTATTAAAATGTTCTAAAAAGGAGGTTATAACATAAAATCATAATTGTCCTGCAAGCTTAAAATCGTCTTACTTTAGAAATGCAGAGATACTTTTTATGCCTGAGTCTGGGATATCAGCATGGTCAGATGCACTGGCTCCCTTCCCACAGGAAGATGCCTTCAGCCTGTATTATGGCCAGTGCCACTTCCCCTTGGTGAAGTGAAACATATTAAGCACACTCATGCACGTTTAATCTGCTCATGTCTTTGAGTCGAATCATGTGGATGATCTGTCATCTGCTCGGTGTTATGATTCTTTGTCTGATGCCTTCTTTATACAAATCAAATGATGTTAGATGAAAATATTTTCCAGTGCTGATTTTTGCTTTATGCTGCTGAACATCAAACTGCAAAATCCTAGTCAGAAAATGCTTCTCATCTGGACAAATGCATAATAATCTAAATTTTTTTTTCATGCATTAGGAGATTTTTTAAAGTTTCAATGAAGAAAATAAAGCTCTTATGTCCTTGGTTGTAAGATGTGTTACTGTACATATTTGTAATTCTGTATCTCAGTATATGCTGTTGTTTAACTTAAGGCTAAAATATAAGTGACATATATCTGATTATTATCCTCCCCTTTCCCAGTCATAAGAGCTCCCCTAGCAGTCTTCTTGTCTTTATCGCCTTGTAAATAAAAATCACAATGTTAACATCTGCTAGTTGCTCTTTATTTATTATCTAATATATATATTTTTCACTGTAAGAAACAAATCATATAGGCTGGTCTGTTGTTTATCCATTATATATATGCAGCAGTGACAGTTATAAAATAAATGTATCACTCATCGTATTACATGAGGGTCTTTGAAACATAAAAAAAAGACTTTGACCCATGTCAATATGATGAAATCAGAAGTTGTCCCAAGTTGTTGGTTATATATTCACAATGTCACAATG